CCCCATTTTATTCCTTCAAGAACAAATGCTTGACAAAAACTGTAGGGTGAATTCAAGGAAAATTAAAGCTAACATAAAGACATAAAGGTTTCAGTTCAGCCTGATAAAACCTCCCCAGGGTTTATAGGAAATAAAATTATTCTTTGGGTTTGCAGGTATGGAGCAGTGGCGGCTGGAACATTATGTGCCCTTACCACCCTGTCCCAGCAGCTGGAGAATGAAAATGCTGTTGATGTTTTCCAGGTGGCAAAGATGATCAATCTGATGAGGCCTGGAGTATTTACAGACATTGTAAGTTTAGAACTGGGAGATACAGTTGTTGACGAAGAAGTCATTAAACAAAAAAATAATAATTGAAATCTATGCACAGGTTTTGTGTACAGTCCTAAGTTCTTGTCATGTGGGTTCAGATATAAGACATTTTTCTTCTGCTTTTCTTGTGGGATTTCTACATGTACTGTTGTCAAGCCGAACGCACAACCTTTTTGTGAAATCAGTGCTCTTCTTCCATTGATGGAAAAGCAGTACTCTCTCCCCTCACCCTCCCAAAATTTCTTCTAGAGATGCCTCTTTTTTTCTACTGATAGAAAAATCAGAATAAGATCATTGGATTCTACCCCAAGAGCCATTCTTCAGCAATATGCATAACTTTAGAGAACACTGTAGGGTGAAAATACCTTCTCTTTCATAGGACCATGCAGACGCTTTTTATTGGAGACTGCATGCATGCAAGTGAGCAATTTTGTTCCACAGCAAGACAAGATCACTTGTACAAGCACTAGTTAAAGATCAAAAGTGAATGGGAAACACTTAAATTGAAGAATACTGGTGATGCTTTTTTCGGGGGGGGGTACAATGTAGTTTTTCAGAAAATATTTGGAAGATGAGAAAGGAACTCTTGCATCATTTTGGAAAGTGAGGGTTACCCCATAATGTAAAGCTTATTGAGTTGTGTGAAGAGGCAAAAAAACACCTTTGGGCTCCAACTGGAATCTTAATACGTGAAACTGAACCACTCTGGAAAATGCAGTCTGAACATTCGGCTTGCTTAAGTATTAGGTAACTTAAAACATGTTGATCTTTCTGTTCCAGGAGCAGTACCAATTTCTTTACAAAGCAATGCTAAGCCTGATCAGCACTAAGGAAAATGGAAATGGCCCCCTGGCAATGGACAAAAATGGTGTTGTTATGGCCAATGAAGAATCAGATCCTGCAGAAAGTATGGAATCTCTTGTCTAAAAGGAATACTTAAAGGCACTTAATTTGTGGAATTTCTGAAGACTGAACTTTTTGAGGCCTTTTTTGCCAGACTCTAGGTTATACAATAACCCAATTACTTTTTTACACTGATAAAAGTTTTGATATTTATTTTTGCCATTTTACGTCTTAATGGTATCCTACTGAGCATTTGCACCTCTGTTTATTTCACACAGTGAAACACAATTTTATCTAGTTTGCACTATATGATCAGTGTTAACTGCCTACAGAGATATAATACAAAAGCAAACAAACCCTGATGACATTCCATGACAACAGACACGCTACTTATTAGTTGAAATACCATGATGTTTAGTTAATTGCTATAAGCCTTGGCTTTACCATTTTGGATGCTAGGCCAGAGAATTATTTTTGATTTACATGAAAAATGCTGTACCCTTGACATATTCCAATATTTATTGTTTAATTTTCATACTGTTATGGTTCTTTTGTATTCCAGTAACATGGATGAGTGGTGTTCTTCATTGTCTTTCACAAACTGTTGATCGCTAGATAAACTTTGGGAAGCTACTGAAATTCAGTTTAACAGCTGCTCTGCATTGTCTGGAATTCCTCTTTTGACTTCGTAAAGTTCAGTGAATTGCTTTCTATGGAACACATAAAATTCTATTCCCAAAATGCAGAGCAATTCAGATTTGTGATTTAATTTCAGACTTTGGAGTTATACTTTCATTAATTCCCCCAGGTGTTCTTAACAACATTTTCATTTCAAGAAAATATTTTGATCATATTTCCACTATGGACAATTTAATTACAGTGCAACAATATACAATCAGGTCATTTTATTCCAAAAGTATTTAGCAATATTTCCAATTCATACACTATTCACATTTACATGTATAGTTCCTTAAGTTTTCTGGAACAGAACCTCTGTCTTGACAGTATGTTATATGATGGAGAAAGGAATTTCTTAATTTCATAGCTGTTAGATGCCGTTTTTACAGGTGTGTAATTTTCATACTTTAGTGCTAAAACGTACTGATCCATATTACTGGTGAAGCGATCTAATAAAAAAAAACTACCTATAAGATTACATTCTTCCTCTTTTTTTAACAAAATTAATTAGTATGTATTTCCCAATTGCATTATTTCATTCTTAGATACTGTACATTGTATTACATTATTCTACAGAACAATCCTATATGTCTACTCAAAAGTAAATTACACTGAATCAAAGTATTTAGGATTACAACCTTAACCTGGTTCACTCCCTTGAAAAAACAAAATCTACTCATTATTTTAACATTTAATATTTTTGTTTCAAATTACTTTAAAAAGTTGTGCTTTCCAAAACATTTGTGAAGCTCAGTTAAATATATGGTCTCCTTACATTGCTTTTTTGAGACAAATTCATGGAGAATAGTTAGCAATGGCTCCTCAGCATGAAGGCTACATTTTATCTCCAGTATCAGAGGCAATAAGCTTCTTAGTTTCAATTACTGGGGGAAATGACCAGGACAATACTATTTTTGCTCATATTCTGCTTCTGGATGTGACACCAGTACTGGTGGAATAGATAGCCCTTTGGTCTTTATCAGTACTGCTTTCCTATGTTTTTACATTGTACAAATGAGAAATGAATTAGCTTCTAGTGAAATGCTTGAGTACACTAAAAATGATTGCATTTGGCTTTAATAAATAAGCAGAAGATGTAGAGAAACTCAGTAGAAATTACAGCATTAGTTAGAATAGTTAAAGAAAGCCTCCTATGCACTTTTGACAGCTATTCAAGAGAGCTCCTCAAACATCAGAGGAGGATAGGCAAGGTAGTCCCATTGTACTAGTAGAAGTCTGCAGGAAAGACATTAGTTTCCACCCAATGGCTATCTGGATTAGTTCAGTAAAAGCAGCTTGCGCACTCTCTGAATAAGGTGGTTTTAAACTTTTCCTTTTTTTCTGAATTTATTTTTCTATGTTTGCAATTCAAATTAGTAAAAATAATGTGCCAGCTTATGAAAGTAACAAGGTATGAAGACAGTAACAAGCCAAAGTGATGTTGCCTCATCTAAATGTTCCCTCTGGAGCTGTCAGTGTAGAAGTGGCTGAGCTTATATAAAAGGAATCCAGGAACAGTCAAAACAAATCTACTTGTAATTGTTAGAAGTAGATTAAAACTGGACTGTAAGCCAGAAATAGGCAGTCAAATATTCCTCCATTTAAGGCAAACATTCCTAGCCTATAGAAGGGATCATGGGATCAGTTACAACTTAGCATTTTCCTAGATATTTGGTTGGCATGCAGTCGTCATTTTCCCCATCGTATGAATTCCAACTCTGAAATGGTTTATTAACTCAGTAAGAACAAGATCCTTGTATATCCTACACCTTCATTTCTTCCTAAATAAAAATTACTTTGAACAGCTCCTCTAAAACATACTGAAAATTCTATAATTTTCACGTTCTGAAACATATTCATTCCAATATTAATTGCATTAAACAGCTCCAACCACTGCTACAACAATTATAATATAGGAACTACTATGCAATAATTGGTCTTCTAGTTATTGCAATATACAGTGGCATATCAACAGATACTTGCAGAATAAAACCACTATTTTCTTTAAAAATTATTTCAATTATTTTCACTAGAAATAATATAATAAATTAGAACATTATTTATTCAAAATAAAATGCACACACCTTTAGCGGATATAAATGGCCATCACTCATTGAGAAAAATAGTGTTTTGCCAACTTATATCCATCGAAGGCAGACTTTTTTTAGGGATTCCTAATGATAAACTAATCAGTTTTACAGACAACCACCAACATTTTTGAAATACTTCACAACTAAATCTCAAGGAATCAGATGACCTTAATTCTTCAATAGAAGAATTCAAAGTTGTTGCTATTGTCATACACACACACACATATTCCTATTCTCTCCACAAATCAAATCTAAATACTATATTTTTAGAAACAAAACTATTTCTTAAAATACATTTTCCTTAAATGTATTTTAAAGAATGGGAAGACTTAATAAAGCAAGAAAAATATCCAGTAAAGTGGCAGCTACTCTAACATTATGGCATGTAACTGCAATCTCAAAAATAAATGACTTGTACTACTGCTTATTTTAAATTTGCTAGTCAAATTATTAATGTGGCATTAAAGAAAATGCCCCAAATTTGCTAAATTCCATTACGAAGCATTCTTTGATACTGAGGTAAATGAGCTCCATAACATTATAAGAACCATGAACATATCACACTAAAAGCCAGTTGATGGCTCCAATCTTCTCAGTAAAGGAACTCCATACAGTGACGTTTAGTCAGTCCACTGCATTTCCATAAATTGCACTTCAGTGTAATAACATATTTAGTTATGCCATTTGTACTGCATCTGTTAGGACTAAGAGGCACATGGCTTGCACCCACATCAGGGATTGCAGTGCAACTGCTGCCAATGGGCATTGCTTCAGGAAATTACAACCATTGAGCACAATCACAATTTTGATTGCTTCACACCCAAATTATGTCAAGAAATGATTGGTTCAAGAGGTAAAAGAGGTGTTTTTGCTTTGTTTTTCCATTTTCAGTTGAACTTTTAATTTTGATCTGATTTTCATGAAAGGGAATAAAAATGCTTGTGACAAGACAGCTTGACTGCACTTCAGCTGCTATTTCCTAAGAGTAAATTTGAATGTGGATCTTAAAATTAAATTAGACCTATATCTAGCTGAAGCAAGACTGTTTTCAGGAAAAAGTCAATGCCATTTGAACTGGGTTTTCAGTGCTGATGTAGAATCTAGTCCGCAGGTGTGTAACTCCATTTAACATGTAATTACCTTCCATTTAATATTTATTAATTCTCTTGATCATTAAGCTTAACGTTGCAGGCAAAGAGACAAAGATAGAGGGGAAAGAATTGCTGTTCAAGATTAAATGTAAGAATGAACTCCACAAAATAATTTCACTGTGATATGAAAAACTGCACTACTGGGGTTACATTTCTCATTCTGTTTTGAAAAGAGGGTAACATAACATAAGCTCCAAAACAGAGAACTAGAGCAGTAATAGAAGAAAAGCAGTGAGTGCCTAATTCAATTAGCATATGAGTTTTTGTTATGCAAACAGCAGCAGGCTCAGAGCCATGAAAGGATAGAAAAGCTCTTCTACAAATATCAGAACAAACATTCAGATGGGAGTTTTGGGAAAGCATTTTCTTTTTCAGAAACATGGCAGAGTGTGTAGTAGAAACTACCTCTACCATCTCATCCCTCTTCAGTTCCAGACTTATGCATGCTTCTTCTTAGCTATTTATGTGACAAAAATGTGCACATTAATTGCAGTCACATAATTCATAATTGGAATCAATGGAGCAGGTTGATCAAGATTTGGCTCCCATTAAGTTCAATTTACTTTAAGCACAACCAACATCTCCTGGATTGGGGTTTTATGGCTGCTCCCAGATAAATGCTTAACAGTGTTTATTCCTTCACTGTTTATTTTACAGTTCTACTCTGCCTTGCTCTTCAAGATAGATCTTGTACCTGTTTATGAAAGGATCATTGTAGAACTGCTAATTGATATAAGCTATTTATATGAACAGATTAATAGCCTCATGATTCTTATGAGATACTGTTATTCATCCTTCCTGCTAGACTCAAGTTCTATCCATCTATGGAGAAAAATGGGATCTTTATGATATCTAAATGTTAATTTGTAAACATGAGTGCTTTATTCAAAAGAATTGGAACACTGAGCTTTACAAAAGTCATCTGGAATTAAGAAAACATAGTTATAACATGGATATTCTCAAACACGTGACCTTGTGTATTTGGATGCTCACCCCAAGGCCATGAGTCTATGCCTTGAGTTCCTTACTAATTCCAGTCTATTGAAATATCTTAAGCTCATTCCCAGTGTACAGTCTTCATCTGAAATATGTGTTTTATTTTGTATTGTTTGATCCAGCAGGTAATATTAGAAGCACTTTATATTAATTCATCAGTCATGCATAATGCTTTTTTTGAATTTTTAAAATCAATTCAGAATATAAATGAAAACATCCTAAGGTATATATTTATGTGTATATACAAGGAAGACAGAGTATTCAAACCTGTTCTAATTGGAGTTATAATGAGAAGAGAAAAAAGTGCTTCCTAGCTCCTCTAAATTATTTCTTTAAACTGAAGGAGACTGACTGGAAAGTACCGAACTATCCTCTCTTTCCTTTTTCATGACACAGCACAATGATTTGTTACAAATGCCTGTTTTCTTATAAAGTGCTATTCTCTTTTAAAGTAGAGCTATCCGTTTTACCAAAGAAGCATAATACTAATTCCTAGCAAAAATAATGGTACAATTAAAGGGGGGGGGGGACAGGAAAATGGCATGATCTGACATGCTTTCAAAATTCATTTTCTTCTGCTACCCATTCCCATTATTGATGCTTATGACAGTGAATTCTATATGAACTGGAAATGTCTCTAATGCATTTCTTTTTTGTTACAGATGTAATTCTCTACTCTGGCTTGTGTATCGTTTGAGCTATCTCTTTTGGTTGCCATTATAAACAATACCAGCTACGCCCATCTGTGTAGGGCAGGCATACCAACAGGGGGAGAAAGACAGACAGACCACAGGGAAAGTACTTGGCCTCAGACATTATAGTTTTAGCTATTTGACTGTTTTTAGTATTTTTGTTAGAGATTTGAAATGGAACCCTT